TTGTGGAGTGAAAGAAGATGTAGTGTCGAGGATTGAGAAAGGTATGTTGAGATGGTTTGGACATATAGAGAGGATGAACGAAAGGAGATAGACGAAACAAGTATACAAGACGAGTGTGGATGGGAGAGTTGGAAGGGGTCGACCTCAGCGAACTACCTCAATCAGGTACGTTCAGCAAAGGCCAGCGTAGGAGTACCCTAATTAAGTTAATAACAATGTACCTACCTATATAGTTTAAGTTTAAAAAATTTGGCTCTCAAAAAGAAACTTCAATTGTTGTACTGTTGATATTTGGCTCTGTTGACTAATGAGTTTGCCAACCACTGCCCTAGACTGGTTACTATAGTAACTCATGGATTCAAAGGTCGAACCTCACATGGGACATGTGAAGTTCTTACCCCCCCCCCTCCTTCCTTATTGTTTTCCTATTCCCTTTGGGCTTTCTTCTTCTCCTTCTGGACAAAGGGCTTCCTTCTCTGTATTTTGTACATATAGACCTTTTGTTGTTCCCAGCTCCCTCATTCTATGGAAATGTACCTGTTGCAGTTTTCCAGCTCTTCCATTCTATGGAAATACTAGAGGCCCGGTGCATGAAATTTTGTGCACTGCGCGGGTGGGGGGGATCCCTCAGCCTGGCCTGTGCCCTCTCGCTGTCTAGGACCCCTAGGCAGACATCCCTTTGCAGTCCGGGACCCTTCACTCTTTACCTCCCGCCTGTGGGAGCACACTGACCACCAGGGGGCAGCTTCTGTGTTGAATATCTGCCCCCTGGTGGTCAGTGCATGTCATAGCAACCGGTCATTCCACCATTAGGTCAATTTGCATATTAGGGTTTTATTATATAGGATACCTTCTGTTGCTCTGTAGCCCTGTGCTTCCTTCACGGTCCCCTTAATTCCCAAAATTTCCTAAACCTGTCCTATTTTACCCCTAAAATTCCTGTTTCACCTAGAAGCCTCCGCTCTTGGACTGGGTCAGTGTAGGGCACAGGGTGGAAGGCCGAGAGTAGGAATGAGACAGTACCTGTCTGAAGCCTAGGACTCATTCCCTGCAGGGGTCTCAAGTCTCTGCTGTTCCCCACCCTCCTAGTGGGGATGTGCGGCTGGAAAAGACCAATGGCACAGGAGCATCCCATGCTTAACCAATCAGGGGCGCTCATGGGTGATGGGCAGACCGGGTCTTCCAGGGTTCTCCTGGCTGCAGGGGAGGGTGCTGGTCTCCCTCTGGCCCTGGGTCACTGGGTCCCGCTGCTAGAGGAAATTCCCTACATTCATGGACACCTGGAGGCCTCCATCGATTCCCGACCCTGACTGGAGGGGCGTTGAGGGGCGATGGAGGCGGCCTGGGAGTTTGAGGAGCCACAGGAAGGAGCTGCCTTTGTCAGAACCCCTGACCCCCAGTGCCGGAGGCCAAGGTGGGGCGAGGCCAGTCCGGGAGCTCTTAGCCTGGAGCTCGGACTTTCCCTCACCTGCCTTCACCGCTGGGCTTTCCCTCGCTCACCTGCCGGTGCAGAGGTTTCCGGCAGAGCAGCTCTGCTGCCACTTGGCAGAAAGAACCCGTGGTCCTAACGCGCGACCTGATTAGGCCCTGCCAGGTACTAACGCTCACGCTGTCTGTGTTGAAGGGGTTGCAACCTTGAATGGGACATTTGAATTAAAAATAGCGGGTGAACTTGTCCTATTGTTAACACACTTTCTAATGCATGCAGTGCAGAGTGGTAGGCTGCGTAGAGGGATTACCTGCCTTACTTAAATGGTCAGCTCCTGTGGTCCCAGCTGGTTTCTAGCGGATTAATGATCACCGGTTAATAATGCGGATTTAAGTATTACTGGTTAATAATGCGGATTTATATATTACCGGTTAATAATGTGGATTTATGTATTACCCCCCCCCCCATAATGTGGGGATGATAAAAAGGTATTTTAAAATATATTTTTTCCTTATTTTTAGAGAGAGAAAGGGAGAGGGAGAGAGAAACATGGGTGGGCTGACTCCTGCACGCCCCTACCAGGGAAGGGTCCCACAACCCCGCCTGCGCCCTGACTGGGAATCTAACCCGCAACCTTTCAGTGCACAGGCAACCAACCGAGCCACACAGGCCAGGGCGATCATAAAAGATATTTTGAGGATTACATTTGTTAACAGATGGTAAAGTCTGGAAACAGTAATCAAACTTTCCTTTTTGGCGTATACTCCAATTGTATTCCCCTTGCCTGTTTGCCGTTTGAGTGTCTCCTAGGGAAAGGCATAGCGGCCCACCCCTGGCTGCTGGCCGTCTACTTATCTACACTGCAAGGGAGTGAACAGAGAGCAAGAGGGAGGCTGGTCCTCCAAGGATTGGGAGGGGCCCTGGGGTGCGCTGGGCGAAAGGGACGTGGCCGGCTTCCCTTTAGGCTCATGGCTTTGCAGGATGGCCTCCAATCACACAATCGGCTAGCGCAGTGGTAGGGAAGGAAATCTCTGGGTCGTGGCCCGGCCCCGGGGTAAGGCCAGGGCAGCGGCAGGAGCGTCCCGAGAAAGGCGCTGGGGCCTTAGGGAACCAGATCCACGAGGGCCAAGGCCTGGGGAGGCGCCAGGACTCGGGTTCCCAGAAGGAGGCTCCGCGCAGGCTCGGCTCGTCCTCCCGCCTTGGAAAGAGCCGGGAGCCGGGCGCGCGGAGGACCGCGGGCACCAATG